GGGGGGGGGGGGAGGCGCAAAAAATAATTATTATTGCCGTTGGCGGGTACTACGTGTCATTCCATTGACGTTATCTCGGCGAGGCTTGAGAATTTTCCGCTCTTCTCGTTAGTTACAATACGTGGGCTTTGAGGGCAGATGTTGAATTTCGTAGAACGAAATAGTATTCAACAAGTTGTATCTCAGAAACTACTGGACCGATGGACTTGAAACAGTCCGCAAAAGTTGAGCTCAATCATAGCTACACTGTTGAAAAAATTTAACTGAATTTTCCAGAAAATGACACTGAATTCAATTTAACGGAAAAAAGTCTATGAAACTTCAAGTTTCCCTGAAAATTCAAGGGAATTCATGATTTTTCAGTGGAAGAACCATGAACATTTAGAAATTTCCATGAATTTTCAGTGTAAACATGATAATTCAATAAGAAATTACTCTGAATTTCAAAAAATTGAAAATTCAAGGACATTTCTGCTTGAATTTTCCTAATTGCCATTAATTTTCATGGTATAATTCAACTGAAATTTTAAATTTCCCTGAATTTTCCACGAAAACCACGAATTTTCAACACTAAAATTCCCTGAAATTTCAGTGAAACCGTCACTTGTTTCATATTTCAAGACTAAAGCCTGGAAACTTCAGTGAAAATTTTTTAACAGTGTACAATGAGCCAAAATTTTAGATTTTTACATTAGAGGCTATGCCCCCACTACGCGCTCCCATAGAGCGGGAAAAAATAGGGATCAGCGGGTTTCCAATAAGATACCTCGCTCGTTGCGCCCGAATTCAATGAAATTTTCATTTTTCCTGAATGAATATCGACAAATAATCAATTTATATGTGTTCAATGTTTTGAATTTGTATCGCCCGCGTTCCCTTTTCTCTCTAAACATAACCCCGCGTGATGGAATGGCAGCTGATGTTGGGGGATTCTTAGTGGACTCGAGAATAATCACAGACGAAAAATTACGATTTTTCAATGGGAAAGGTGAAAAAAAAAATCTATGTATATTTCCATTAATTAAAAAAAGTGGTGCGATCCCCCCTTAACCCTAGTTGGTCACCATATGAGAACTTGCGACTTGGTCACCTCCGCAGGGAATCGCCGCCGTGTTATTTAGGCCCGAGCGTTGCCGAATTCACTCTATACTGGCCGGGCGCGTTTAGCGAGACTTCGGCAACGTCGCACAACGGGCAATTTCATTTAACATGAGAAAAAATTGCCCGTCTGTTAGAAATAATTTTTTTTCTTCAGGAATTGTGGATATAAATAATTTTAAAAAATATTATAATTTTCTAGACACTTGAATTGACGCATTCCAATTTTTTAGGATTTTTCCGCTCAGCTAGTCAATGGTAAGAAAAAAAAATCGACCTTCTGCGGCGTTTCCCTCATGACCAACCTAGGGTTAAGGTCATTAGACCCTCATGATCACTTCGAGAGTCAAACGTCGCAAGGGTCATAGCCTGCGAGGGTCGAAAGGGCCGCAAGGGCTTGTGACTAATAGCTGTCCCTTGCGTCCCTTGAATGTCATTCCCCCTGATCCCCCTTCTCCCCCCCGCCCCTTCCACATTACACTTGGCCGTCACCCCACATGACAAATTGTTGTTCTGCCGTCCCTGTTCCTTTTATCTTATTTCCTTCATCTCCTTTCAATGTCAAAGTTGCTCATGTCCTTAATAACATAATTCATCACCTCAAAACTCCAGGATAAATATTTTGGGGAGAAAAAAAATGAAAGAGCTATAATAATGCTCCATTATTATTCTGTTTTATCTTTTTTTTCCACTTCTTCAATCTCGAGGAAATCACGTACGTTTCCACTTTCCCAGATAAAAGATGAGTCTTATCTGGAGGACATCCATAATATCCTCAATAGTGGGGATGTGCCAAACATCTATCAAAAGGACGAACTCGAGAAGATTTATAATGATATGAGGGTCGAGGTTCAGGAGGCTGGCCTCTCTCTTAACAGAACAAATCTATTCAATGCATATTTGAAGAATGTTCGGAATAATCTGCACACCGTCGTTACGATGAGGTTCTGATATTACGTTGAAAGCTCAATTTTATGACGAAATTCCAGGCGTTTTATCGAAGTTTATTATAATTTTATTAATAACAGCCCCATTGGCGATGAATTTCGTCGGCGAATCCGGCAGTTTCCGGCATTAGTGAACTGCTGTACTATCGATTGGTTCCATCCGTGGTCGGACAAGGCATTACAAGTATGTGATTATGGGAAAATGTAATGGAGTACTTTGAAAGTATTTTGTCATTAAGGAAGTAAGGTCATGGGGAATGTCGAGAAGACAATAAACTGCCCTAGATTATTGTCAATTCGCGACGTTTCGCCAATTATTTAGGCTTCCTCAGGCGTGCCAGTTATTGAATGTTTGATAACTTAATAATGTGTCTAGAGTTCTCAACATGGAATTTTTTAGAAAATAGGGTGACTATGTACTTAGTTGTCAAGGTAATTAGTATGATCTTCTTAATTTTATTCATGATTGACTGCATGGAGAGAAATATTCAATAAAAATTACGTATCTTTTCCGTAATTCCGGAGCGAAATGTGGTTGTAGGAAATTTTACGGAACTGTCACGGAATTTTCCCGGAGTGTTCCGTAATTTTTCACAAGAGATTCAGATAAAAATTATTTTTATCTGAATCTCTTGTGGAAAATTACGATACCGTCACTTAAATTTTCTGAGTCGATTCCGTAATCGGTGAGTGAAGTGGGAGTTCCGTAATTTTTACTGAACATTTCTCTCCGTGTGATGGACCTCTGGCTGTCAGGTCGTTTGTTTTGATTGGAAATGTTTAGTTTAGTTTTGATATTCCGACTTTCATTAGCGTACGTTTGGCTAAATGGTTTTGTATTTTGTATCTGGTTGATTTCCAGAAGCCTGAGGAAGCCTAAATAATAGGAGAAACACCGCGAATTGGCAATAATCTAGAGCAGTTTATTGTTTTCTCCACATTCCCCATGACCTCACGTCCTTGATACCAACTATGGAGATGAATAATAATTTCGTTTTGTCATTCATTTGCAGAGCGTCGCCGTTCGTTTTATCGAGGAAATCCAGGACGATCATGTTACTGGCGAAATTTTTGACGCTATCGTAACTGCATGCCAATTCATGCACTCATCCACGATCGAAACAAGTCGAGAATACCTTCAGGTATTATTCTATATGAGAACAGAGGACATACAGTGGATTCTTGTGAGTTACACAGCCGCGGGGCTGTGGGGAAATCCAATTCCTAGAATTTCGCAAGCCTCTCGACCCAAGTTCAAGGACATATTATTCTCTTCCTCGTTTATTTTTCAAAAGGATTAATTGTTGTTAACAAATGGATTTGGTCTGATCAAATGTTCATTTGTTAAGGGGAGTTTTAAGGCATGGGCTATGGGAGTGAGGTTTCTCATGCATTGAAGATCGATTATAAATATCTAAAAACGAATAATTAGTGCGAAAAAATTAATTGTTTATTGTTCGTTTGCTCCGCAGTTGCTTAGAATGTTGAAAATAGTCCAGGGCCTCCAATTTTCGAGGTACGGAAGTTTTTTTTCAAAATTAAAAAAAAAATCTGTACAATAGTAATTACGAATTATTATTTTTTAATTCGATTCCGACACAGCTAATTTGTTTAATATAAATATTTGCGCTATTCATGTCAAATAGGCAGAAAAATGATCTATTCTACTATTTTACATGAATGGTGCAATTTTTTATGAAAAAAACAACAAAATTAGCTATGTAGGAGTTTAGTTTCAAAAAATTGATTCGTAATTGTTACTACACACATTTTTTTGTCAAAAATTTTGAAAAAAAGCCTCTGTAACTCAAAAATTGGAGGCCCTAGACTATTTTTAACATTTTAAGCGATTTTGGGGTAAACGACCAATAAACAATTTTTTCAATGTATGAAAAATCTCATTCCAATAGCCTGCGACTTTCAAAACTCATAGTAGTCTCCCCTTAACAGTCAACAAATGCATATTTGAGGAGCCTTGTTTGACTCGACTTCCACCTTTCAAGTGAACCATTCTTCAACTATTACCGAATATGTACACTGAGAAAAAAATATAATTCTGCCAATCAAATATTCTTCTGACAAGAATTTAAAGCCAGTTTTCGTATGGGAATTTCGGGCATTTGGTTGTCCGAAACAAATTTGATTGGCAGAATTATATATTTTTCTCAGTGTATTTGATCTTATTCAACTCTACCATTCGTTAATAGTTAACGAATCTCGTTTGGAATAAATGAATCATTCGGTGCATCTGGCGTACAAAATGAGGCGATACGGTGGCCCAGAATGAGGTTAACGCTCGAGATCCTTAAAAAGGAATTGAGGGAGAGTATTGCATCCGGCGGGAGTGGAACTAGCGGGAGTTCACTGCGTTAATTTTACCATTAATGCTTTATCGCCTCCAACCCTATCTGGAAATTCCGCTCTCTGCCTAGATACTGAATCGTCACAACTACGTAACACCTGTCTCCTATCTAGAAATGTTATCCAACTACGGGAATCTCTTGTACAAGAGGAAGAAGACCCTGACGCTGGAGATGTCTCGTTTATCCACGGGTAACCCGAAAGTATTAATGTATTGCCACTAAGCCTATCTCCAGAGAAAGGGGCTGGGGGGGGGGCAGTCGATTATAAGGGTGTGCCTACCGGAAGAAGACCTCGCAGCGCCACAGACCCTCGCTCATCCCTGTTAACAGGGTAGAGGGATTAACGTCCCGTCATCCGACCGCAAAAAATCCGTTCCATTTTTCTCTCGTAATAATGATTCAGCAGCAAAAAAAAACCATTTCCGCGAAACTTTTAGTCCAGCGAATCGAGTTCGTTGATTGCCTGGTATCATCGTCTATACATAAAATGCGTGTTTCTGCGTGCTCTTGACCCTTGAATCAATTAATGAAATCTCACATGGCGAGTAGAATTTCGATTCAGCATGCGAGTGGGCGAAAGAGACGAACGAAATGGCCTCCTGGAATTCATTGTTCTCGTATCTTTTCGGCAAAAGGGGTAAAATGGGGGAAGAATGATAAATAGAGGACGTAGGCGGACATGGAAACTTTACTTTTTTTCTGATTGATCTCAGGGCTCTCTCGTCTCAGCTCCAAATTTATTCACAAAATGAGGGGTGATTCCCTTCACGTTTCAACACTTCTAAGACTCGATGGTTGAATTCATACTAATGCAGCTTTGTGCTTTGCAATTGAGAAGTATACAACATATTTCCCAAAATTCCTAAAGAAAACAAATTATTTCAGACAGGCGAATTATTCCCCCCCCCCCAACNTATCTTTTCGGCAAAAGGGGTAAAATGGGGGAAGAATGATAAATAGAGGACGTAGGCGGACATGGAAACTTTACTTTTTTTCTGATTGATCTCAGGGCTCTCTCGTCTCAGCTCCAAATTTATTCACAAAATGAGGGGTGATTCCCTTCACGTTTCAACACTTCTAAGACTCGATGGTTGAATTCATACTAATGCAGCTTTGTGCTTTGCAATTGAGAAGTATACAACATATTTCCCAAAATTCCTAAAGAAAACAAATTATTTCAGACAGGCGAATTATTCCCCCCCCCCAACTCCCGGTCTGTGGGACCGCTATCGAAACTTTCAGTGTATAACTATTGATAAATGTAAGAAAAAAAATTCAAACTTCCAGTAGCTTCCTAGTTCATCGGGTCCAATTCATACAAAAAGTTTTTGATTTTTCTTCACCTCGATAAATCCATGAAACCACCAATGTAGTAATAAAAAAATAATAATTAGCACCAATTATTCATAATGAATGCCATGTCTTTGTTAGTTCAATAATCGCAAATTAACAGGCGAGATTTATATGAAAAAAAAAAAATTTAATTAAATATACTTATACATTTTGCTTCTTCTGTTCAATCCTTCCCCGTTTGGCCGTTCCATCATTTAACCTTTCCTTGTTTAACCTTTCCCCGTTTTAGCCCTCATTTGAACCTTCAGTTCTAAAAAGTATTGATTTACTCGCTCAAACAAACGGGAAATGTGATCTAGACGGAGTAGCGATCTGAGAGACCGCGGGGTACAGTAAACGTGCGTTTTCGGAGGGTTCGGTGAAATTGCCGGTGACGCGACGTTGCCGGAAACTCGCTAAACGCGCCCGGCCAGTGTAGAGTGAATTCGGCAACGGTTAAGCCTAAATAACGCGGCGGCGAACGCCCGCGGAGGGGACCAAGTCGCAGGATCGCGTCTGATGACCAGACTAGAGTTAAACTATGTACTCAATATTCCTGTACAGGTCTGAATAAGTTATCAGCGACAGAATCGGAAGTCAAAGAGATGCAGTTAATTCTGACCGAAATGAAACCAGAACTGGAGCAAGCCACCATTGCTACTTCAGCCATGATTGATCGCATACGTGAGGACACTATTGAAGCTGAGAAGACCAAGAGTCTCGCTGAGGAGCAACAGAAGGAGGCGGCGAAGCTGAAGCGAGAGAACGAGGCAATTCGAAATGAAGCGGATATGGAGTTAAATCAAGTGAAGCCAATGCTCCAGGCGGCTGAGGCGAGCTTGAAGGCACTGAATAAGGGAGACATTACTGAGGTCAAAGCTATGAAACGCCCTCCAGTTGGGGTTGTTCTCGTGATTGAAGCCATGTGCATCGTCAAAGATGTGAAACCGAACAAGGTGGGATACATTTCATGCGTCGTGATTCATGATTATCCGCCTCTTGAGCCAAATGTTTCGTTGATATCAAAAGCAGAACAATTATTCATGTCTGAGACTTTCAAGTTCGAACCAAATTCTTCTTTGGCAATTTTCAACTAGCGATTTTCTTGGCCCAAACAAGACTTGTTCGACAACGTGTTTGTTTTTCTCTCAGTGTACTTAAAAAATAGGCGAAACATTTTCGGTCGGAAATCCATTTCGCCTAGCTTATGCTAAATTTTGAAAAATTTCAAGTTTATCTTAGCTCGAAAAATGCGATCAAGAAGTAAATAAATGAATTAGAACAAAAATGATATTGATTTAATACATGACTAAAACATGATAATTACCCATGTAGAAACATTTCTGTCTTTAGAAGGTCTTCTAGAAATCTTGAGAAGAATCTTCGAAAGATTATGTAGAAGATCTGCTTGGTGACCCAAAAAGATTCTTCAGAAGACAAAATTTTAAGGGTCAAAATTTTCAAAGTCCAAAATTCAGGGCTTAGTAATTTGAGCGTCAAAAAAGTAAGGATCAAATGAGTAAGGATCGAAAATTAAAATTGTCTTTGGAAGATTTTGTCTTCTGAAGAATCTTTTTGGGTCACCAAGCAGATCTTCTACATAATCTTTTGAGGATTCTTCCCAAGATTTCTAGAAGACCTTCTAGAAACAGAAATTTTTCTACACGGGTACATCACGCAAAGCTTTCCTTTCCTAGTAATTCGTTAAGAATTCCACTTCGTTTTTAATACCCATGCGCGTTTCAATATAATCCATCTGGCGCAATGCTGAAGCCAAACGCGGCATCCGTCGGAAGCCAATAATGTCATTAATAATGGCCGCGAAAGCCTCAAAACTAAGATATAATCCATCTTCCCTTCCAGCTACCTGGTAAATTACCAGGCGAAAAAATTCTCGATTACTGGACACCAGGGAGTCAGATGCTCGCGGACGCCGGTCACTTCCTCCGTGAGCTCGAGAACTTTGACAAATCAAAGATCACTGAGGAAATGATAAATCGCTTGAAAGCCTACATCGAAAATCCGTCATTCCACCCGAGCAAAGTTATACAGGTCTCGAAAGCCTGTCACTCCCTTTGCCTCTGGCTCCACGCGATGTACAACTGGTACTTCGTGAATCTCAAAGTTGAGCCGAAAATGGAGGCCTTGAAAAATGCCGAAGCGAGTCTGATGGAGACTGAGCGACAGTTGAGCCTAGCAATGGAACAACTCAGAGAGGTTGAGGGTGGGATTCAGAGGCTGGAGGACATTCTTCGTATTGAGGTGGATAAGAAGACAAAGCTGGAAAACGAGGAGCAGCTGTGCGAGGAGAGAATGTCAAGGGCAGTAAGATTGATAAACGGTCTTGCTGAGGAACAGAAAAGATGGATAACTGCGATTGGAGATATACAGATTTTGTACAACAATGCTGTGGGCGATATTTTAATATCTTGCGGGGGAATTGCGTATCTCAGTCCTTTCACTGATGTCTACCGCAGGGGCTTGTTAACAGCGTGGACGACAATAATGGCCAATAAAATTCCCCTGAGTGTGAATCACACAGCTGTAGCGATTCTGGGTGATCCTGTGGAAATTCAACAGTGGCACATTAATGGACTCCCGAGAGACTCATTTTCCGTTGAAAATGTCATTCTCTCGAGGAATGCTAATCGATGGCCACTTTTCATAGATCCGCAGCGTCAAGTGAATAAGTGGATCAAAAAAACGGTTTGCATTTCTGGAATACGAAAACTCATATTTCAAGGTTGAATATCGATGGGTGTGACACGAAATAAATAAAAAGCTCCCAAGAGCTTTGTTTCTCTCATAAGAATAACATGTTTTTCCCATAAGAATCATTGCACTATTGCATGATGTGAAAATGAAAACAAAAAATTTCCGTCAAAAGTAGTTCATTTACGCAGTAATTTTCCGTGATTATCATTTTTTTAGTGTCGTAATAGGGGGAGGGGGAAATGGACTCGAATTTTCCATGAAAACGGCGTATTATTTTATGGGACAAAAGAAGGCTCTTGGAGGGTTTTTTAGAATTGAAATGGAGAGCTGAAATTTTGAGATTTTTAAAAATTTATTTCGAGTTTTTTAAGGGCGCGCCACATATCCTAACGGTCATCCTAGTTCTTGCCAAATTGTTTTTGGAAATCATTGCATTTCATAAAATTGTAATTTTTCACGTGTTTTATGCGAATAACTAACAAACTATTCAGTTCTAAGGTACATTGACAGGTATCGGTTGAAAAAAAGTTTGAAGGGCTTCATTTCAGTAGCGAAGTGGTAAAAGGAGATGAGTCAATTTTGACTATTGACCAGTTTTCCATCAATATTTCGGAATCTAAGGGAGATAGCGAAATTCTCGTAATAACCTTTGTTGTGGCACTCGATCGGCTCCACAAAAACGGTTATAACAAAAATGTCGCCATTTCCCTTAGATTCCGAGATATTGACTGAAAACTGGTCAACAGTCAAAATTGACTTATCTCCTTTTACCACTTCGCTACTGATTTTTGGCCACAAGATATCGTTGGCCAAAATTTTGGTCACATACATGCATACAAACACACACATAGAGACATGTCTCCAAAAACGTATGAGGATGATTCTAGAGGCCACAAAATGTGAAGAAATCATGAAATTCCCCATTCAATTTTCAGGGCCACTACATCATTATCACTTTTCCAGGAAAAAACAGCGGGTTTATTGATCGCACGGATAACCGATAAGGACTTGATACGCGTTGTTGAGACATGTGTGAAATTCGGACGACCCTGCTTAATCGAGAACGTGGAATGCGAATTGGAATCCACGATAGATAGTGTCTTGATGAAAAATGTGTTCTCCTATGGTGGCCAATTGTCCATAAAGATCGGGGACAATGTAGTTCCGTATAGCGATCAATTTCGGTTATATTTAACCACAAAACTACCGAATCCCCACTATCCTCCGGAAATCACAGTCAAAGTGCTGATTGTGAATTTTGCATTGACCAAAAGGTTTTCATTTCTTTGTGCTATTTATTTATTGTTTTATTAAAATAGGGTTTTGCTCCACTCAGCGAGAGTAATTACAAGAGCATTGTTTGAACAGTGAACCATTCGATCAAATACTGTCACTGGTGGTCCTTCATTTATTTTATTAATTGAAATGTCCGTTTTTTCCCAATAAACGAGAGTAATTGCAAAAACATTATTTGAACAGTGGACTATTGGATCAAATGCTGTCCCTGGCGGTTCTACAAGAGCGTCCAGAGTTGGAAGCAGTCCGAAGGGACATAATAATTTCCTGCGCTGACATGAAGCGGGACCTCAAGGAAATTGAAAATAAGATACTTGATAAACTATCGAAATCAGAAGGTTCTGCAGTCGATGATATTGACCTGATCACTACCCTCGAGGCGTCCAAACTCAAAAGTGAAGAAATCAAAGTAAAGGTCTCCTCTGCAGAGGCGACACAAGCCGACATTGACAGAACACGATCCGCATATTTGCCCGTTGCAAATCGAGCGCAAATATTATATTTCTCGATTTGCGATCTGAAAACCATCGACTTCATGTATCAATATTCTTTGGAGTGGTTCATAAATATTTATACGGATAGCATTATAAACACTGAAAAATCGAGTGAGTTGAAAAACGCTTTAGCTATGACATGAAATGTTACGAAACATCAATTCAATGACGAATTTTCATTTGAAAATTTTCAGACAACATTGACGAACGTGTTTCGACTATAAACGACTGCTTGACATTCTCAACATATTCGAATGTTTGCAGGAGCTTATTCGAGAGGCATAAGCTCCATTTTGCTTTCCTCATTTGCGTCAGAATACAAATTGATACAGATTTCATAGATAGAGATGAATGGAAACATTTCCTTTTCGGCGCGACTCCCCCGCACGTAATTAAAAACTTTGTTTGATAATTTTCTTTGAAGTTTCCACCTGACTGGATGTATTCATTGCAGCAAAGTTTAAATCCAGCAGCCGAATGGCTGCCTGAGCGGTCTTGGCTGGAGATCCAAGCATTGAAGGTGCTGAAGGAATTTAATAATTTCACGGAATTATTCCGTGGGCGCTTGGAAAATTTCAAAGCTTTGTACGACTCCAAGGAACCCGAAGTGTAAGGAATTTACTTCATCCTCTCGCTGCGGTTCCCCATGGTTTTCCTCCTGTTTCAGAGACTCGGGATTGGATAGTTTGAAGCTGGATGACTTCCAGAAATTACTCGTCATAAAATCCCTCAGGCCAGATAGACTCATCACTGCAATTCAACTTTTCGTCAATAAATACCTGGGCAGGAAGTTGATAGAACCACAAACCACTCAGTTGTCGACTGTCTACCGGGAATCCCATCCGAGAACTCCACTCGTATTCATTTTGTCGAGTGGGACGGATCCTGCTGCGGAGTTGTACACACTTGCTGAGAGTGAAGGGATGAAGAGTAGATTTTATACCATATCCCTTGGACAGGGACAAGGGCCGCGCGCTGAGTTCATATTAAAGGAATCTCTCGACGCGGGGAATTGGGTTTTTCTTCAAGTAAATGGAAATGTCCACGAAGAGGATTAGTTTCATACAAACAAATTGAAATCCGGGATTTTGCTTGGTTGTCTGGCAACTCAATGATTCCTTTAGAACACCCAAGATATTTTATAATTTCTGAAAGAATCTGACATTCTTTTTTTTAACGTTTCATTATCTGCTGCGAAATTTTGGAAAATTCCAGAAATGTCGAGAAATCAACCTAACATGTCACTGCAGTACACTGATTGAACGAATTAGTTATGGTTAACGAATGGGTTTTGGTTGGAGTTCAAGGGCTATTCGTCTCACCAAATGTTCATTCGTTAATAGTTAACCTTGTGTGACTTGACTTTCGCCATTCAAGTGAACCATTCGTTAACTATTAACGAATATTCATTTGGTCATATTCAACTCTACCATTCGTTAATAGTTAACGAATCTCGTTAAATCGAGAAAATCCTTTGGTTCTACAAAACGATTCGAAAAAACTTTTAAATTTTGTAGAAAATTCTCTGATTTTCTGGAAAATTCTAGGGAATTCGCGGATTTTCTAAATTTTCTTTTGTTCCAATTGAGCAATTTAATTCCAAATTCTGCTTGATCCGAGAAGTCAACTAAATTTGAGTATTTTCCAAAGAAATTCTCGTGTGTTCTAGAAAAGTCGAAAATATTGAGGTGTTTACTTTCAATTGCAGGAATTCTCAAAAATCCTGGTATTCAATTTTCTCTTATTCTGCCCGAGCGAAGCCGGGCCGACAGCTAGTAATAGTATAAACCCCATCGAAATCCGTCCGTTAATTTATCGATTCGATGAAAGATGTAAATCACATGTCTTGTGAAATTCCCCAGAATTGTCATCTCGCTCCCAGCTGGCTGCCACACCTGGATGGACTCATCGAATCATTCCCTGATAATATCCACAATGATTTCCGTTTATACTTGACGAGCACTCCAACTATCAATTTCCCCCCTACCATATTGGAGAACGCCATGAAGTTGACAGTTGAACCGCCCAGAGGCATCAAAGTAAACAATTTCTGATTGAATCTCGTGTTAATCGGGACAATAATCAATAATCCCGTAATTATTGACTCCAGGCAAACATGTATCGGGTTTACACAACTCAGATACCTCTACTGCATGATTTATTCACATCGGAGGGTGTTAAGGTGAACGAATTTAAATCACTGCTGTACTCCCTCTGTCTATTCCACTCGATTCTCCTGGAAAGACGGAAGTACGGCTCATTGGGCTTCAACATCCCTTACGAATTTTCTGACGGTGATCTCGCCATATGCATCTCCCAGCTCCAAATGTTCATCAGGGAATATACCGAAATCCCCTTTGAGGTAGTATTGCTTCCAAACGGAAGCATTGTAATCGTTGAAATTTAAGTTTGGGATTTTTCGTGTTATATCGACCCATTATGATCCAAAAAGTTCGGAAATGCCATTCTTAAACCGTGTCCGTATGTATGTGCATACGTATGTAAGCAAATTTTTCGCCAATGAATCGTAGGTATTATTGAGCCCTATCAATCGCCATTAATCAAAATTTAATTCATTCATAAATTTTCAAAGAGCATTTTTAACAAAGATTAAGAAATAAGTCCGATAGAGAGGAAATAGTGAATGGATAATTTATCGTGATAACTAACGATCTGACAGCCATTTACTACTGTGACAAATGACGACCTCACAGCCATTAGATACATCAAATTATTAATTTACAATTTCCTCCCTATTACGTTTATTTCCCAATATTATTAAAAAAAGCTCTTTGAAAATGTTCGGCGTTTTTCAACGTTTTTTTTTATTGTACAATCATAATTTTTGGAGACTCCAGGGCTATGTAAAACTGGATAGCAATTGAAGATCATTTCAGATTATCAAAATAAAAAAAACAGTCCACCTGGGCCTTAAATAGTATTTTTCATCACGCTGTGACGAAAAGTGAACTTTTCGGCACGCTCCGCGTGCCTAAAAGTCCAATTTCCGCCACATTGTGATGAAAAATATTGTTCGTAACTCGTGAAAAAATGTTTTTTAGCTCGTGGGATTATATCACTCGCCTCCGGCTCGTGATATAAACCTCCCACTCGCCAAAAAACACTTTTTTGCACTCGTTACGAAATATACTATTCCATTACATGTACAGTGGTGAGTCCCTAACATTTCGGTTCTCTAACATTTCAGTCGGAAAAGTTGACTCCCCCCACCATCGACAACGTAAATGTGTGTCCCTCTGCGCGACGGGACTGCGCAGTAAAATTACTCTCGGCATGCGAGAGTGAAACAGATAGATTCCCTCTCTCTGTTTATCTCTTTCCCAGCTCCGCCCCCAACGGAAGAGTAGGGGCTTCCCGAACATTTAATTCTTTGAATTCTGGCCCCCGAGGCTGAAATGTTGGAGAGTATCCACTGTAAAACGTACATGTCCGCAACAAAATGTAAATTTAATAATTCCTATCGGTACTATTCTCGTCCCTCCGTTAAATTTAAACTCCATTTTTCATCTTCTTTTTTAATTATTTTTTTTTTAATTTTTAACGGAATTTATTGCGAGAAAATTACAAACAACAAAAAACACATTTTCTTACAATAGGCCATCGCCCGAGGGCCTTCAGCCAAGTGTTTTCATAAGTACATAGTATACAGTAATAATTTGTTGGTGTAAATAGAGTATAATGAGGTGAAGATGGTACATTGAATGCCTTCTTTTTTATTAACGTTGAAAGGTGCTCATATACACCGCTGGGCACGTGAACTATGGAGGAAGAATTACTGACGACTGGGACAGGCGGTGTGTTCTCACACTCCTCCAGGACTTTTATAATTCACAAGTCCTGAAAGACGATCACATATTCGATCCGAAAGGGTTATACCGACAGGTATTATCGAATAGAAGATTAACATTATCATGATTACGTAATACTCCCTGTTCGCAGGTGTCGACTGCTACCCCAGCATCGTGTACTTACGAGAGCTACCTAAGTGCAATAACGCGATTACCCCTCAATGATAAGCCAGAGATATTCGGATTACATTATAATGCGGAGTTGAGTTATGCAACGTCGGAAGCTTACTATTGCACTACCAATCTCGCTGCACTTCAGCCACGAACCACTCAGCGATCAACAGGTGGCGAAGCCACAATTCGCGTAATCGCAGAAAATCTTCTAGTCAAAGTACCCGGATTATTCGATGTGCAGATGATTCAGGAGCGGTGAGTTGGCATTAAATGTATTCTATCAGTTGTTGAAATTTAGTAGTGAACGGGTAGAACGTCGCTATTTAAAAAATTTTATTAACCCGTCAGCACTCGCGCCATTTCACCGAGAACCTTTACTCGCGCCGAGAGAGAATCTCTCGAGTCAGACAGAGAGGTCTGAGCTACACTGAGAGAAAAACAAACACGTTGTCAAACAAGTCTTGTTTGGGCCAACAAAAGCGCTAGTTGAAAATTGAGTTGATAGTTGAGGCAATCAAAAAGTTTCAGTCGAAAATTTCATTTTTTCGACTGTCACATTCTCCGCCCCCCTTTCCCCTCTGTGACCGTCACAATTTTTCAAGAAAACATTTCGTCGTATTCTTCAAGTTCATATTTTCTTCATCAATTTTTATTTGAATTCATTGCGCATTAGCCTACCGTGCATTTTAAAATAAAAACATAAAACCAAAATCATCAACTATTAATTTTACTCATCAGTGATGACCATTATACATTTATATATATGGTTTGAGAACAATTTGTTTACAAATTATTAGTGACCAACATTTACAGTTAGAAAATACGTGCGTTACAAATTTTCTTCATACGACGCGATCGAAAAAATTACGGTCATTTTGCATCTCGAGTTATGAGATAGGTTTCTTATACAAAAACGTTAAAGTCTTCGTATAAGAAAAATCTCGGTTATATAATGGAATTATAAACAATTGCATTATCCAATTGTCTCCGTCTATTCCTGTGCGCCTCATGTCTTTGTTCTGATGAATTATTTAGCCACCCAGTGCTTTACGGAGAATCCCTCAACACAGTCTTACAATTGGAGGCAAAACGTTACAATGCCCTTTTGAAAATTGTCTCCAACTCATTGAGTCAATTATTAGCAGCACTGAAGGGTGAAATTGTAATGAACGAGATGCTGGAAACAATGGCGAGCAATCTGAACATGAATAATGTGCCTGAACTGTGGAAGTCACGAGGATACCCTTCACTGAAACCTCTGGGTAAATTATTCCTCGTTATTGTCTCCCAAACTTGCATTAAATTTCATTCAGGTATATGACAGATTCTCCCGAATATCGTCCTAAATTTCAAATTTTAGGTGCACAGAGAGCAGTATTCAATAAAAATTACGTATCTTTTCTGTAATTCCGGAGCGAAATGTGATTGTAGGGAATTTTACGTAACTGTCACGGAATTTTCCCAGAGCGTTCCGTAATTTTTACCTGAATCTCCTGTGAAAAATTATGATACGGTCATTTCTCTCCGTGTGAGTGCGTGATAAAATATGTTCTTTCGAAGTAAAGAAATTTATTTTCTATTCGATGTGGTGGAACAATAAATTTACGCATAGTTTCAAGGGAAAAGTCGATTTTAAGGGTCAAGAGGTTCTTTAGAAATTTCGAGAAAATTCAGGGAGTTTCTAGGAAATTCGAGAAGGAAAGGCCATGGGCGTACCCACGTATAATTACAGGTGTATCAAGGATACAGCCGCCTGCAATTTTTCTTATGTTCTTGGCAGCGATATTTGCATTTGCTTCATTCTGTTTTAGTGTGTGTAGCCATGTTTAAATTACTTATAGTAATTCCATGCTTATTTCTTTCGCCATTTTCTGGTTCCTGCTTTACGACCTATGTCGTTGTTTACTTTGTGCAATTTAATGTACAGTTAATAAACTTTAACCAATCAATCAATCAATCATCAACTTTTCGTGAATTGTTATATTTCATTCAAAGGAGCGTGGATGTTGGACCTGAACGAGCGAATTGAATTCATGAGAAATTGGAGTGACAGGGGAATTCCGTCGTCATTCTGGATCTCCGGATTTTTCTTCCCCCAGGCGTTATTTACAGGAACATTACAGAATTTCGCTCGAAAGCACTCGTTGCCCATAGACACTATTGAATTTTCTTATCAAGTACAGGATTTATTCAAGCAAGACACACAATGTACAAATTCTCCAGCGATTGACAATTGTTGTGTAAATTTTGTAGATCTTCGAAAGTTTGCCTCATACCCGTGCAGATGATGGCTGCTGTTTGTACGGGCTGTTTCTCGAGGGCTGCCGATGGGACGGCAATACGCTTGAAGAGTCTAATGCCAAAGTACTCCATTCAGGTATTATCAATGAGAAAAATGGAATTATTCCATGAAATCAATGAAATTATTATTCATCTCCACACTGAGAGAATAACAAACACGTTCTCAAACAAGTCTTGTTTGGGCCAACAAAATCGCTAGTTGAAAATTGCCAAAAAAGAATTTGTTTCGAATTTGAAAGTCTCAAACATGAATAATTGTTCTGCTTTCAACAGCAACGAAATATTTGGCTCAAGAGGCGGATAATTCACACCAGACGGTGCCTTTTCAGGATGAAAATATCTCATGTAGAGGAAAATTCATCAACAAATATTTTATCCCTAAGTTACAAGATTGCTATCATATCATTATTATTGTTTCATTGAAGGGTTCATTTGTTGTCTGTGATTATTAGACAGCCGAAACGAAAAACTACTATCCCTTGTTTCGCATAAAACAAAGATTTTTCGGGAGCAAAATACGTATGGGAGTATCGAATAACGAAGGAGTAGTGCTAGAAATTACATTTCTTGCGTGTACACTGTACAGAGAATGCAATTTTTTTTCAACTACTAAATCTAGTCTTGTTGGCACAGAAAAAACTTTTTTGGATAATTTTCAAAAAATGGATTCTTGCCACAAGTAAGACTTGTTTGAGAACTTTGGCGTTTTTCTCTCAGTGTACAGTTAATATTAAGGAACTAGGGTCATGAGAAATGTGGAGAAAACAATAAACTGCACTAGATTATTGTCAATTTGCAACGTTTCATTTATAATTTCAGCTCCCTCAGGCGTCTTGACAATTGAGTACATAGTCATATCATTCTCTGAAATATTCCATGTTGGGAACTCTAAACACATTATTAAGTTTATAAAAGATTAAAAAATCTGGCACGCAACACTCTGAGTGTCTGAACGTCGCGAATTGACAATAATCTAGCGCAGTTTATTGTTTTCCCCTCATTTTCCATGACTTTCTTATTATTCAGTACGATTTCTGTAGCGAAGCGGTAAACCGGTTTAAATCGATTTAGACTATTGGTCAGTTTTTAACGAATATCTCGGAATCTAAGGAAGATAGTTATGTTTTTGTAATGACCTTTTTTGTAGCTCTTAATTCGCTCTACAAAAAATGTTATAATGACAATTTCGCCATTTCTCTTAGATTCGGAGATATTCCTCGAAAACTCAGCGAAGAGCTAAGTCGACTTGACCCGGTTTACCGCTTCGCTACTGATTTGTTGAAATAATACGCTCTCATTTGTTCGTCTTTTCATTTCAGAAATGAAACCTATATTTTTGAAACCAGAACAAATACGAAAATCTCCACCCAAGGGCGTTTATAATTGTCCCGTCTACAAAACACTTACACGCTCCGGCACTCTGAGTACTACAGGTCACTCCACGAACTTTGTCCTTTGCATGGAAATTCCCAGTTCGAGGGTAGAAACACATTGGATTAAAAGGGGAGTGGCTATGATATGTGCTTTGGATTACTGAACTTACTCTCCATGATTTTTAATTTTTTTGGTTTCCTTCCAATCTTGGCAATGCATGCTTCACTATTTTCGGTGGGTTTGCCAATTAACCATTAATTGTGTTCGTAGAAATGTATTGTTTGTAGCTGAGTAAATGGGCTTCAATTATTGTCCAAATCATTCGTAGCGTATTCTATACAGTATTATTTACTCTGCAGAAAATATTTTCAACCTTTTCTATTCATGAACTTCAGAGATACACTTCATCGCAGAATAAAAATGAAACCGACTATGATACTCCAATAATTCCAGAGGTTTCCTATTTTCATTCACGTCAAACGATATTTATTTTGCAGAGAAAACTTTCAACATGTTGACTCGTTATATCCAATTAAAAAATAAACCTACGCAGCCTGAGATACAGAGATCCCCTGAAGGCAAACAGAAATTTCCATCGATTATATTATTGAAAGGAAATTCCGGTTTTCGTGGCGCCGCATTTTGGAAAAAATTCTATTTCTAATTATTCTGGAGATATCACACTCATAAAGCCCGAAATTGCCATTTTCTTTCGCTCCAGCACGAAAACCGGAATGCTGCCCAGAAAATTCATGGAAAAAAAGACTAGGAAAAATTTTTTTCAGTCAAAAACACATTCAACTAAGGCAGTATCACTCTTGTGACCCTCGCGACTCCTTTTTTGTGACTCATTTTGATCCTAGTGACTCCTTTTTTTAACCCTCCCTTGTAATCCTTTCGATTGACCCTCCCCTTTAGCTCTTTCTCTGCGCGAAAACGGATGAAGGTGGAATTTTGTAAATATTTTGCCCGTATTCCTCACCCAAAATACTACAGGAATCAAGTGTCAGCCTACAACGCCGCGGAAACCGGAATTCTGCCTTATTGAAACATTATAGTCATAATTGTGTAAAAAGTTCTCTTACATAGAGTATTATCCAGTTAAAAAAAAATGAAGATCAGTGCCGGTCGCTCGCTTCGCTCGCTCTCGGGTTGGCTGCGACCGGTAGGGGTGGGTTGAAGTGGGTGTGGCCCATTACAGTCCGAACCAATAACTTCGCGAGCAATTCCATTTTTCTTCAGTACGGAAAGAAATAATTCTTGAATTTTCACATGGAGAAAATATATCATTTATTAGAAAACATTTCAATATTTTATTTATTGATCAAATAACTATAACCGCTAACAAATAACAAATAACCGCTGAGCCAACGGCTTCCAGAATTCCAGAATTTTCACGTCACATCAAAATTCATCCATTGTGAGAAAAAAACTTTGAATCGCAACGTTTCGCACGGAGGGAGGACCTCATTCATAAAAAAATGCCAACTTTCGATGTTATTCCACGTGTTCATTGTAGAAAAGTGAAAAACGCTGAGATGATCGTTTTCATAATCTAATCAGGTTCAGGTTCCATAAGAATACGTCTATTGAAAAAAAATCAAATCGCATTGTTTGTTCGAGAGAAATCGCAGCGCAAAATTTGGTCACAAACGAATGCACACATGTACATCCACACATACATGCAGGTCTCTGAAAAATGTCAGAAGTGGTTCCAAAGGTCACAAAACATGGAGAACTGATGAAATTTCCACATTTTCTGTGTCATGACAATAACTTCCTCCCTTCGTATCGGGAAGTTACTATTAAATTACTATTAAATTAAATACTATTAAATAGCTTAATGTGTGAGAGAGGAAAATTGAATAATCAACCACAATAATTTTGAGGGAATATTTTTAATGACCAGTCATATTTACAATCAATCCAACAAAAACTGAATATTAAACACTTCCAACAGGCATAAACTCCCTGACCCCCTCAGGCACCTCGAACCTCTCAGCATTCTCCTCCAACAGACAAGCCAATACCTTATTGACATTCATAATCGTCCCTGAAATGATAGCAGGATGGCCTCTGCCTGTCGGGGTTTGATAGGCAATCAGCAATCGCTTTGACAAATAATCCCCGTACATAGAAACATGCCCAACTTCCACGTAATCAGCGTAGTAATTGGACCAAAGTTCAAATGCCACTCTTGAACACTCAGCAATCTCCAACTTTCCAGCAGATCGCAGAACTACTCTGTAATGAACTCCAAGGCCGTCATAAATCTTGGAAATAGCGTCAACAAGCTTCTGAAACTCCTCTTCATACTCCTGACTGTCAGCCTCTCGCACCATTGTCATACAGTGAACGGCGGAGGTCTGGCAGACACCAAAGAGCCCCAGATCCATTGGCTTTTCCACTGCGGGCGTGTAGCTGCGGCCAGTGGCAAAATACCTCAGTGGAAAGTGCTTTGGGTTCACTAATTGCTTGGTGTGCATCGCCAGAAATGATATCAAACTCGCTCCACCAATCAGGTGAAGCCTGTTAACTGACTTTTCATCGATCCCTTCGTTTTTCAGAATAAACGTCGAGAATGGGTCCTCATGGTCCATTCCCGCAGCCTCTACTAATAAGCTCCTGGCAAAATCTGTTCCAGCAACTCTCAGAATTCCCTCACTATTCAATATTTTACTCGCATAAGTTTGCACAGCCACTTCGAAGAGAGCCGCTTCATCGCACAGGTAGAAATGGAAGGGGTTGAGGTATTCCAGTAATCCCAGGGATTTTCCGATTTCCACGTGATTCTGTGGTGCACCATCAACTGGTTTTTGAATGTTCTTTGAACCCACTGTTTTTAACACCAGCTCTGAGGACTCGGGGGTCTTCTCATGAAGCTCGTTGGGCAGTTGCAGCACTCGAGGAATAACAGTTTCCTCCAAATCCCAGAGGATTTCCTTGATTAATCGCAGTTCCTGTCTGAGCACTTTGCCCTGTGTCATCAGGCCATTCAGTTCTCTCTCCTCATCTGACCCTGGAAGTTTGAGTTTTGATAATTTTTTTATCCTGTGGGCTACTGAGGATCGTCTGTCCTCTACTGTCTTTCTGTCGGCTTCGATCGTCTGGTAGAAATCCCAAGTGGATTTGATTTCTTCGGCGTTGACGTTGATCCCTCGGAGGCGCAAGTTTCGCTGGAGCTTATCGACTTGGCTGAATGTTTTGGTGTAGTCGAGGTAGGGGGTCAGGTATGAGAAAGTCTCCGAGGCCTTCCTACCGGGGATGTAGAGGGCCGATGTGTACTTTCGGTTTGGGAGGAATTTGGGAAAGTTCGGGGGATTTGGGGAGAAGAGTTTGAAATTCTTCGGGGAGAATTTTGGGAGCATCTTGGAGTTAGTCTGATGGTGTGGTTTTCTGGGCTTTTGATGGCGGCTCGACGGCCATTCGGGGGAAGGTGTCAGGGGGGAGGGTTTCTATCTTTCGTTTTTTGGAGGGGACCCAGGCGCCGTGCCCTGCAGCACGCTCGGACTCTTCTATCGTGTACGGCTCGTCCTCGAGGGCTTTCATACGACGTTTGTGGACTTTTGTGGTGAAATGGTCTTCTAAGGCTCTTTCGTTGATGAAATACCTCCTGGGGCGAGAAATTGATAGAGAATAGTTGTGAGACGATGTCTTGTGGGTCGTTGGATGACGTTTTGTGGCGGGAATTGGGGAGTGACTAATCTTATGTGGGACAGGTCGGGCCAACTCAACCGACTTGATTTTTTTTGGTTTGTAAACATTAATCGGCATGTACAAGATCAAGTGCCACGTACAGGTGGACGTCCACGTGATAAAGGCCCGCTTTGTCAGTTTTAATGTCTGGGATATTCACGTTTATGTCTCCACAACTCCTGTTTAAAACAATGTTAATTTTTTTATCTCCTCCCGCGACGTCAGTTGTTACGCCATAGAGGTCATTTAGGCTTAAGGATATCCAAGTATCTTTTGGTACAGACCACACTAGATTCAAACATTTTCAATTATCAAATTGTCATTAAATCGCGTGATCATCAAAGTGATTGAGAAAAATTTGAAAAAATCATGAATGTTCAACGTCATTCAAATTACATTTTGCACAGAATTATTGTTGTCTTTAACATTCGTTGTTTAAAAATCAATAATTGAAATAATTTTCAATTAACAAATTTTCATTAAATCGCGTGATCATCAAATTGCGTGAGAAAAATTTGGAAAAATCATGAATATTCAGCGTCATTCAAATTACATTTTGCACAGAATTATTGTTTTCTTTAACATTCGTTGTTTATAAATAAATAATTTAACTTGTTCAAACTTTGAGAAGAATATTTTTTTTCGGTATGAAATCGAATAAATGATTTTTATGATGAAAAATTTTTTGTGTGTAAATTATTTACAGAAAATCGTAATTTTCGAAAAGTGCAATTTTTTAATTATTTATCAATCTTCCTCCAAATATAAACTCCCTCATTTTTTTTTTCAAGATTTTTAAAATGTTTCTCACGGTTCAATATCGAGATTCAAATTTAACCTGCAAAGTTTAAGTAATAACATCATTGTAAAATGTTCGGATACTTGAGGTCAAGTGGGGCTCAAATGAAACGTCTGCTGTTTGTCTGCAAAAGTAGAGGAGCATTTCACTGGAGGAAAGATAGCCAAAGTACTTGGATGTCCTTGAAATTTGCGGAATGTTACCAGTAAGGTCGGAGTATACACGACTCCATATCGACAAAGTGGGTCCTTTTCACGTGGGCGAATACAAATGGAGAATTTCTTTGAATTTACTCAACACTCACGATAATAACAAAAATTTTCAGAAAGCAAACTTACGAATGAATAGGCGAATTGGAGTAAATAAAAAACGATTCATCTAGACTTTTCATGTACTTTCCGAATAAAAATATTCCAATGTCACAGAATTTTTTCAAATTAAATTTTCAAACAAGTGTCAATAAAACATTAATGGATTTTTTATTTATTATGAGGGATTTAGTCGATATTTACGAGCAAGTGGCTAAATAAAAGAATTCCACGATAACTTTCTAAAATCATCCAATTGTGGAATAAAATTACTCCTGACATAAATGTATTCCCAGGATTTATTTCGTAAACAGGACTTTGTGCAACAAGAGATGTAAATGCCTCACATGCCCTGACATTTTCCCCTATATAGAGCCACATCGATTTTTATTTCAATTAATTTCACACTACCCTAATGCGGATTTTTAAACGCAAATCAAAAATTTGAAGTGATGATAATTTTGCATTTTTCACCAATAAACTAAAAAAATTTTGCATCTTTACATTCAACCGGGGCTAAAAATGTCGAAATTAAGCGCTAACAGTGCTTCAAGTCCAAAGCACATTGATTTTCATTATATCACCTCCTGGAAATTAATGTGCTTCGATGACTTTCGTCAAAAAAATTATTAAATTATTAACAATTATTAATTATTAAGTATTTAATTTTTGTTCAAAAATTTGGAAAATCAGCAACATTCTATTACCCCTCAAGTCAAGGAAGCTCCAGATAAAATGAACCACAGTTCACTGTTCACTGGACAAAACGAACACCTCCAGCGATATATAACACATTCTCACTACCTTTTAGGTTAAAACCATGTACTCACGCGCAATGAATGCAGTAGTACTGAGCAGAGCCAGGCTTATCAAAGTCAATCTCCTGATTCAGCAGCTTCCTGGCGTTGTCGTCCTTGAGATCCTCATCAATCTGAAAATCGAGACTTCATTACTCCAAACGACCAGTAAAAAGGCCGTTCCGCAGACAAATAAATACGACCTTTGAGGGGTGATTTGACCCACGTGGTTCCCACGTGAGCCCTCACCACTCAAAAACCCCAGAGCCCCACTAAAAACAGTACCTCGTCAAGATCCTTGGTCTTCCTCTTCGTCTTGGCCCCTTTTTTCATTCCATTACTCTGGACATTCTTCTTCCTTTTGTACACCATTTCGTCCCCAAACAAATCCTCTGGAAAAAATTATCCCCTGACTCTGACTCGATAGAGTAATTGATCCAGCGGCATTCCCTCCGCCATCTCCCGTTGGAGCCGCCAACCTCCGCCGCAAAACTCGGCTGGAAAATAGGCAGCGATTCGACAAGTTGATACGGTGCAAAGTGTATACACCCGCGTGAATAATCGCGGGATGCAGGGGGGCGCGTACCCAAGGAGTTCCGCGAGCGGTCCAGTTATTGACCCCAAAAGGCCCCCAAAAAACCGAAAAAGTCAGCCGCAATCAATAAATAACCCCCGAACAAACACTAAAATCCCAAATTACCGATTGAAAAATAGTTGGCCAGACTGTAGACAAGCAACACCGAGGAACACGGCGTATATCGTTCCGGTTGGTCAGTAAAATCCCACACCAAAGAGACCTCCCCAGTGTTTTCCGACGACGAAAAATCCTGAAACCGTTGGACCGGTGGCTGTTGCAGCCCGTCAACGATCGCCGATCGACGTTCGAGGATTGCCAGTGAAATTGAGTGAGTTGGAGAGACAAAATCCGCGGGAATTCGCGAGTTCGTAGGGCTCACCGAGTGCTCCGTCTCTGTCAGACGTTCGATTGAGTCCCCCCCGAGTCTTCCAAATCGTCCTAAACCCTTGAAACGAGTGATCAACCCGATAAGAGCCCTCTGGACCCTCCGGGAGCCCTCGAAATTCGGTAGTAGATCCTGCAAAACCCATTCATCATGAAGAAGAGACTGAAAACCCTCCGGAAACCCAAGAACTCTCGATCCAAAAATTGAGAAAAAAAAAATCGTCACCCCAAATTAACCGAGAGGAACCTCTCACACCCCTTGGCCATCCTCTCGCCCAAAAATCCCTCGAAATATCCTCACATGTACACCCCAATCACCCCTCCCCCTCCCAAGATGTCACCACTGGTGTTCCCGTAGTGCCCCGACCCCTGGCGTGTGAATCCCCCGACAATTCAAACCATCACCTTCCATTTTGAACGTAAAAAT